ATGAACTCCTGGCCTCAAGTGATGATCCCACTTCAGCCTCCCAATGGAGTTAGGATTACAGGCTGAGCCACTGCACCCAGCCTCCGCCCACATTTCTATCTCTAGCTTGAGACTTTCCCCTGAACTCCAATCTCGCACATCTAACTGCCTCACCAGTGTCTCCATTGGGATTTCTCAAGCTTGCCAAATCAAAAATGGGTTTCCTGAACTGCCCCCAACTGCTGCCCCCGCAGGCTTCCCCATCTCAGGAAATGGCAGTTCCATTTTGCTGGCTGCTCAGGCTGAATACCTTGGAGTCATGCTTGCCCACTTACTGTCATCCAAAATCCAATCTGAAGGAAGTTTCCACCAGCTCTACATTTGACTACTCTAGAATGGGCTACTCTTTGGTTTTTTTGTTTGTGTGTTTGACACAGGGTTTGGCTCTGTCGCCCAAGCTGGAGTGCAGTGACACCGTCTCTGGTCACTGCAACCTCCGCCTGCCAGGCTCAAGCCATCCTCCTACCTCAGCCAACCAAGTAACTGGGACCAAGGCATATGCCACTACTGCTGGCTAATTTTTTGTGTATTTTTTTTTTGAGACAGGGTTTTGCCATGTTGTTCAGGCTGGTCTCAAACTCCTGGACTCAAGCGATCCTCCTGCCTCAGCCTCACAAAGTGCTGGGATTACGTGTGTGAGGCACTGCACCCAGCCTATTTTATGTTATATTTATCTATTTATTTTTATTTACTTTTTTGAGACACAATTTTGGTCTTGTTGCCCAGGCTGGAGTGCAATGGCGCGATCTCTGCTGACTGCAACATCCACCTCTTGGATTCAAGAGATTCTCCTGCCTCAGTCTCCTGAGTAGCCGGAATTACAGGTGAGGTTGGCCTCAAACTCCTGACCTCAAGTGATCCACCTGTCTCGGCCTCCCAAAGTGCTGGGACTACAGGCATGAGCCACCAAGCATAGCTTCATTCAGTCTATGCCTTATCACCAGTTCCTAGACCAGTGAGTGTCATAGAATAGGTTTGTAATATTGGCTGGGCGCAGTGGCTTATGCCTGTAATGCCATCACTTTGGGAGGCCTAGCTGGGTGGATCGCCTGAGGTCAAGAGTTCGAGACTCTCTTGGCCAATATGGTGAAACCCCATCTCTACTAAAAATATAAAAAAGGCCAGGCACGGTGCCTATATGGCACCTATAATCCAAGTACTTTGGGAGGCCAAGGTGAATTGATCACTTGAGGTCAGGAGTTCAAGACCAGCCTGGCCAAGATGGTGAAACCCCCATCTCTAATTTTTATGAAAATTAGAGCAAGACTCTGTCTCAAAATAAAAAAACAAAAAACCCATTTGTGTCCCCACGCAATGTGCTTGTGTTATAGAGGCAATATAATTTCTTTTTTTAAAATTAAATTAATTTTTTTTTTTTTTTTTGAGACGGAGTTTCGCTCTTGTTACCCAGGCTGGAGTGCAATGGCGCGACTCGGCTCACCACAATCTCCGCCTCCTGGGTTCAGGCAATTCTCCTGCCCCGGCCTCCTGAGTCGCTGGGATTACAGGCATGTGCCACCATGCCCAGCTATTTTTTTGTATTTTTAGTAGAGACGGGGTTTCACC